TATGATGACAGTGACTTATTAACTAATTTTTCGGCAATCACCAAAAAAAAAAAAAAAAAAAAAAAAAGAAACTCAAGCCCTACTCTATTTTTCAAAGTGGAAATACCTTTTTTTTTTTTTAATTGATTCGTTATGTCATATGTATAATGTGGTGTTTTTGTTACGAAATATTCTAAAACTTATTGCATTAACTTTTAGCGGTCCTCATTAAGTTTGATCAGTATAATTCCAAATTCAATTAATTATGCTCATGCTTAATGAAAATTAGATTAACAACATTTTCTTAATTTAATTATAAAGATAAACACACATATAATAAAGACCATCATTATCAACGTGTATTGTCATTTTCTAGGGGGAATTGGAAATTTGCCCCACAATTATTTGTCACTTTACACCGACGATCTTGGACACCAAATTTTGTTTTAAAAATAAAAAACAAAAAATTAGTTTGGTTGCCACGACAATTAATAATGATTTTGAAATATGTATAAATCTCTTTCGTACTCATAAACAGAGCAAAACTTGAACGAAGATGACATTAAAAAACAAGATACAACTACCTAGCATATGTGAAACAGTTTATTCGAATATAGAAGTTTATAATAATTTGTTTTTATCAAAAAATAAAAATATTTTATTTAAAAGTATATGAGAGATATTCTAACTCATATGACAAATGATATCAATTTTTAAAGATTTGACATGTATAGGGCCACAATATGTAAGAAGAAATGTATGTAGGTGTTGGTGGTGTGTGTATTCTCATTGTCATAAAGTTCAAAATCGCAATTTGTTGGTTGCATAAACAACATTTTTGTCTCAATACATCACATTTTGTACCTTAAACTATGACCATCTCTTTTGTTTGGCATTGCAACATTTGGTATAAAAGAAATTGAGAGGTGAAAAAGAGAAGACAAAGTGGGACAAACAAAGAGATAATTGTGAAAGAATATATGGAAATGGAATGATGAGAAAATATTGAATTTGAGTGCTTTTAGTTTTCTTTTGTTCGACTCAACCCAATACATGTGAAATTTGTCCCTTGTGCGATGAAATATGTCAGGAAACCAAGAGTTTAGGGTAGTTTCTACTTCAAGGGAGGTGACTTGTCCTTGGGCTTTTGATGACAAGTGAGAAAATGGAATTGTACTTTATTTTCTCTTTCTCTTTTCATTTTCTTTGCATATTTTTTAGTTGGCTTAGCATTTTTTTTAGTTGTATTAATTTAACTGTACGTTCACATATGTTTAAATAATGTTTTTCATAGTATATAAAGGGAAATTTTTTTTTTTTGTATACATACATCTTGTTAAATAATTTCACTTACCAAAAGAATTTCAATTGCTATATATAGGCTATGAAAAAATATTACATAAACATATATTTGCAGTAAAATTAGAACAACCAAAAAAAAAAAAAATGGAATAGATTAATTTTTGGTATCACAATAATTTCATAGATCGTCAAGTGGTTTTCTACTTATTCCCTTTTGCACCCTTTTTTAAGTTATTCCATTTTGGGCATTGCATTTTGATTGTTGGAAAGGTAAAGATTTTATTTTATTTTATTGATTTATTTTTTCTGTTAGATGCAGAGATTTGAAATTATTAGTGGAGGATTAGGGCAAGGAACTATCTTCTTCTTCTTCTTCTTCTTTTTATTATAGAATATGTTAACTAGTTAAAACTCCCATAAAAAAAGGTGTGGGAAGAAGAATTAAAATTAAAATTTTAGCTATATTTGGAAAAAAAATAACTTTTTTTTATCAATAATTTAACCAATTATTCCTTTCTCTGAAACTATCTACTATTATTTAGCTTAATCCATGATCCTTGGATTCTTGATTGATAGCAACCACCATTTCCTTTTCAATTTCAGAGTAATAATTAGGCGTAACTTGATGAGTTTAATTTAATTCACAGCTTTTTATAGTGGATAAGTAAATTATTAGAAATGTTCAAAAAAAAGAGTAAATTATTAGAAACTTTCTCCTTCATTTTATTGTTACATATATATTTAATGATAGAATACAGAATATTTAATGATAGAATACAAAATAACAAATAACTTTTTAATTATTAATGACCTGTTGGTTTGAATAAAAAAAATTTGTTTCATTTGAAGAAGATCTCAAGTTCAATTAAGTCTTGTGAATAAAAAAAAAGGTGTTGAAAGAGTTTATTTTTTTATGGGATTTAATGTGACTTAATTTTAAATTAATTGAGATCTAGTATGATTTTTGAATATCTATAGGTTAATAAAAAATAACTTTTTAATTTTTTAAATACTTGTGATCACTCTATTTCAATTTTTAGATCTAAGATCTTCAATTAACTTAGAGTTAGAAGTTCTTATTTATCAAAACACCTCTTTAGAACTAAAAGAATGGTTACAGTATTTATTTTTCCCTTCATACCATTAAGATATTATCATAATATAAACAAGATTTTATTTTCTTTTCTTTTTTCTTTCAAGAAAAGAAATAACTAAGAAGATACCACAAACAAGAACAATCACCTGATATAAAAAAAAAATTAAAAATTTAAATGAAACTAAAAACATAAATTAAAATTAGAGGATAGTATAAGATATGTCTTCTCTTAAAATTTAATTGAGATCTTGTCTAAAAA